GAACAGGGGGAGGAAAGAAAGTGGGTGAGGGGCTTCCTGTTGCAGCCTTCAGCGGGACTCTGAGGGTTGGGTCACTGGAGGAGGAAGTGACTTCCTGCCTCATTGTTCAGGACTTCATTGTTTCTCAGGAATATCGTATGTGGGTTTTCAATAACCAATTCGGGAAACTGTATTTGTCCCATCACTTAGCAAACAATGAGCACCTACTGTGTGCAGAGGCAGCAGCACAGCCTATCACCGGGGGAAGGGTCCAGGAGAACCATTTGTCCAGGATCTCCAGATGGAGTTATAGGTTGTCAGATCCACTGACCAGTTTAATCAAAGACCCTCCTAGTATATCTTTAAGCTTGTTTCTTATTAATAGACCACAGTGCCTATGGAGCACTGTAAGTTATTATGTTTTAATAAATCGATAATTATCTTGTGAACCGCATAATTATGTTGTAATTTTTTGTATTAGAAGCATTGTGTTAAACATTGAAAAATATGCCTTAATATTTGTGATCTTGTTTTGTCATTTCTTCATTTTCAAATATACCAGTAATATATATATTTTAAAAAATGAAGTAACCTGGGCTTCTCTCTTGATCCTGCTAGGAGCAGAGATGAAGCCTCAACACAGCCGAAGGAGTTGGGAACATGGGGACACACTGACTTCAGTCCAACTGCTATAGTATATGAATGATGAGCTAGCTAGTCTGCACCAAGAAGAGGGGTGCACTCATTGCTGGGGGGCATGGGAGGAGGCTTCACAGAGGAGATGACATCTGAGCTGGCTAGCGAAGACTGTAGGAATCTTAGAGGTGGCGAACAAGGGGAGGGACAGCGCTTTCCCCTCTTCAAGAACAGCATGTGTGAAGTCATGGAGGCATGAAAGGACAGAGGGTGTCCAGAATGGTCAGGATTGGGTATGGCTGAAAGGAAGAGTGTAGGGGTGGAGTGGCAGGGGAAGGGAACACAGCAGGGACAGTCTCTTATGTCCCCTTGCCCTCTGCCTGTTTGTCTCTGCCTTTGGCTGTGGATCAGCAAAAGCTGGTGGTGAGGTGCAGGTGGGGGGTGGCTGGGACTGGCTGGGACTGGCCTGGAGCGAGAAGAGCAGATGGACCCTGCAGGAAGAGGGGGGAGTGCAGAGGATTGGGAAGCTCTTGATGACCTTCATGGTGGTGAGGTGCAGGTGGGGGGTGGCTGGGACTGGCCTGGGGCGAGAAGAGCAGATGGACCCTGCAGGAAGAGTGGGGAGTGCAGAGGATTGGGAAGCTCTTTATGACCTTCGTGCATTTCAGCTGGTTTTCTCCTGAGAGAATCAACATTGTCAAAAAATGTAAACAATTGCATTAAAAATGTACAACAAAGTTATTTAGTTTGTTTAGACTACTTAAAGGCATCAAATAGGCCCATACTCACCAAGCATGTTAACTGAGTCTATTTTGTACCAGACACTGTGCTGGGAGATAGGACACTCCCTCACACAATGCTGCAGGGCTGTTGTGATTAAATTTGAGAGGGCCCGAAAGGTAGCTCAATTGGTTAGAGCAGGTTTGATCTGTGGTCGGGACACATACAAGAAGCAACCAATGAATGCATAAAGAAGTGGAATAGACCTAGCCAGTTTGGCTCAGTGGTTAGAGTGTTGGCCTGAGGACTGAAGGATCCCAGGTTCCATTCTGGTCAAGGGCTCCATCCCCGGCCCAATTGGGACGCGTGCAGGAGGCAACTGATCGATGTGTCTCTCTCACATCATGTGTCTCTCTCCCTTCCATTCTCTCTAAAAGCAATGGAAAAGAAGATACTACATTCTATTCTGAGGTCAGCTTCAAAAGAAAAAAAAAATCCAGTAAATAACTGGTCATAAAGGCCCTGGCTAGGGAGCTGAGCTGGTTAGAGCATTGTCTGGATATGCCAAGGTTGTTAGGTTGATCCCTGATCAGGGCACATACAAGAATCAACCAATGAATCCATAAATACGTGGAACAACAAATCAATGTCTTTTTCTCTCTCCCTTCCTCTCTCTCTAAAATCAATAATAAAAAAAGATTAAATGTGAGAATGGCTGCAAAAAACAGGAGCACAGAGGAGTGTCTTGGTTCACAGTGGCCATCATTGCTATGGGGAAAGTAAAATGCCTCATGTGCTGTGAGGTGAAGTCATATTTCAAATTGGCTCAGGATGTGAATAGGGGCCTGGGTTCAAGTTCAGATTCTGTCTCCTGGAAGCAAATTACTCTCTGAACCTTGGTTTTCTCAGTGTGTGAAAAGTGTATAATAATAATACAATTCATAGAGACAGAAAGTAGAATAGTGCTTGCCAGGGGCCGGGGGAAGAGGAAATGGGGAATTGTTTAATACACATAAGAGGTTCAGTTTTGCAGGATGAAAAGAGTTCTGGAGATTGGCTGGACAACAATGTGAATGTACTTAACTCTACTGAACTGTATGTGCCCTTAAAAATGGTTAAGATGGCAAGTTGTATGTTATGTATCTTTTACAATTTAAAACAACCAAGAGCATAATAGCCCTGGCCAGTGTGGCTCAGTTGGTTGGGTGTCATCCCCTGCACCAAAAGGTTGCTGGTTCAGTTCTCTGTCGTGCCTAGGTTACAGGTTTGATCCCAGGCAGCTGATCGATGACATTATTAAATTGTAATTGCTATTAAAAAGTAGTTGCTATTTTGTTCCGCTTTTGTCTTCTAGACATTTAGATGGAAATTTCGATTATGCAGAGAAAAATCTGGATATCTCAACCCTTATCACTCAGTGTGGACCAGCAGTGTGGGCGTCACCTGGGAGCCTATTGGAAACGAAAAATCTCGGGCCCCACCCCAGACACGGTCCCCGGGGACTCCCACCCATGTTAAAGTGTAGGAGCTCCTGGATAGCTAAGCAACATCCCTCCACACTTCTGTAGGGAATATCGTACCTCAGGCATGTATCACATCCCGTCTGGTATGGAAGTCTGTGCCTATTTCTAGGCTGGGAACTCCTGGGAGGTATATGCCAAGCATTGTGCATGGCCCTGGATCTCTCATTGCATCGAGCACAATGACAGGAAGCAGGAGACCTGGGTTTCGGTCCTGATCCTGCCATTTGCGGGCTGTGTATGTTGTGTCTTCTGCGAGAGGATTCTCACGCCTTCCAAAGGACCCGCCCCGAATCTGACGGCTGGAACTGAAGATGGTGGTAGGTTTCTAGTTTATTCCCAGGCTTCATCTAGGAGGAGGCACTTGGCGGGTGGAAGGAGGAAGGTGATAACCAGTTCAGAGTAGCTGATGCCCAGGGCATATAAAGAACTTGGGCTGAAGTTACTCAGAACAGCTGCCCTAAGGCTGTACCAAGGCAGATGGAGACCCAGCGGCCTCTCTCAGTCACCCCCTGAGGTCGGCGCTGGTACCAACCTTCCAAAGGACCCGCCCCGAATCTGGCTGCTGGAACTGAAGATGGTGGTAGGTTTCTAGTTTATTCCCAGGCTTCATCTAGGAGGAGGCACTTGGCGGGTGGAAGAAGGAAGGTGATAACCAGTTCAGAGTAGCTGATGCCCAGGGCATATAAAGAACTTGGGCTGAAGTTACTCAGAATAGCTGCCCTAAGGCTGTACCAAGGCAGATGGAGACCCAACGGCCTCTCAGTCACCCCCTGAGGTCGGCGCTGGTACCATTCCTGTTCTCACAGGTAAGGAAACAGCCCCGAGAGGGGAAGTGACTTGCCCAAGCGTTCACAGGCTCCTGCATGTCAGTCATTTTAGGAAACACAGAGCCCTGGAGGCTCAGGCTGGGGCTGCTGGAAGGCCAGGGACAGAGACTTAGACTCAGACAGGCCTACCTGACCTGCTCCCCAGGCTTTTCCAGAAGATTCCAGCTTTGCCTAAGGCTCCCATCGGAGTAAAAAGCAAGCCGATGTCATCGAGGGAGAAGCATGGTAAGGACCCTCCCTGCAGACTTCCTCTGAAGCGGGGGCCACAGATGGAGCTGTGAGGAACGCGTTGCCAGGGCCTAGGCAGCTTCCGAGGCTCGGCACCTTCCAGGGGCCATGGAACTGGGGCGGGGGGGGGGGGGGGGGGCACTGTACTCTTCAGGCAGAAAGACTCAGTTCAAGATGATCTGCTCCCTGGTTCAAAGGCCCCCAAAGCCAGCTATGAACAGGGAATAGCAGAGTTTGGGGAAAGATGCAGAACAGGGAAGAGACCTCCCCCATGGCGTGGAGTCATAGCTGCCTGAGCCAAATCGTGTGCCGAGTGTTCTCGTGTGCGACTCTGGGGTGGGCTGGGGTAAGACTTGCATCCATCTGTTATTTTATTTCTCAATTCAGCAAAGGCTGGGAGGTTGGGATGTGAGGGAAGGGACGCAAAGCAAAGGTCTGCCAGCGCGTCAAAGATTTGACACCTGAGTCTCTGATTTCTACAAGAGGTTTGTGAACACAGACTCTTCGCATGGTATCCCAATTGGGTTCCCTCTATTAGCCAATCATTATTCATAACCAGGGATTCATAACCAAAGGCTTCTCCCTCTGATCCCTAGTACCCCATTCAGAGTTCAGCGTTTTTCTTCATTTTACATTTTATTTTTTTTTCTCCAGTTACGATGGCTTAGTGCTTTCTCTTTGTTCTTCCTCAACTTGTTCACTGAAATCCTGGCTGGCAGTTCTATCAGCAGAACTACAAAACCAAAAAGGCAACAGAATTTTAGAGCTTTTCCTGCGCCCCCCAAGGAGGCAGGGGGAGGGGGAGGGGACATGAAAAAGAAGGTAGGGTCTGGAGCCACACAGACCAGAGCCCAAATCCCAGCTCTGGCATCGTTAGCTGCGTGACTATGAACAAATCACTCATCTGTAAAATGGTATCATAATGCCGGCCAATGTAAGAAGGATATTGGGTAATAAATGAATGGAAATGTGATGCCAGACATGTGGTGTGCTCTCAACTCATCGTCAAAATATCACTGTGATGATCACCAATCGCTTGATTAGACTCTAGGCCTTCCACCTGGCCGTGAAAATGTGGTCAGAAGCCATATCGCTGCCACCTCTAGTGGGCCCAGCCTCTCTGACTAATGGGGAAGGGAGGAGGAGCTGGGTTTGCAGCAGGCAGAATGTCTGCTCCTCAGCAGTAACAATGACAAGAGCTGTCATGTATTGGACACTCACGACTAGTAATTCTGGGATAGGCAGTGTTAACAGTTATTCACGCGTTTCGTCCTCACAGTCACCCTCGGAGGTAGGCACTACGGTCACTCCCATTTTCACGGGTAAAGAAGCAACTCAGAGGGGTTATTAAGTCATTTGCCTAAGCTCCCGTAATGCTAGTGAGAGCCAAACTCGGGATAGCAAGACTGGTGGTTTCTAGGTACCAGGAACACACGTGCCCAGGGCTTTTTTGTGTGGTCGTACGGGTTGTTCACTGCACAGGAGGGCCTGGCAAAAGGGGCAAGTTGAGCCACCAGAGGCCCTGTTAATGCTTCACGTGTATTACCTTCCCTAATCCCCGCAACAGCTCTGTGGGCTAGATGTTAACATCCCCATTTTATAGAGGAGGGGGCCCAGGCCCAGAGAGTTCAGGTCACTTAGCTAAGTTAAGTCACTTTGTAATAAAGTGATAAAACGAGGATTTGAACCCGATGCCACGGCCCATACTCTAAACCAGGCGTCCTCAAACTACAGCCCGCGGGCCACATGCGGCCAGCCAAAAACATTTATCTGGCCCGCCGGGTGTTTTTGCCGCTGCTGCTTAGCAGCCGACTCGTCCCGGGCCCGCAGTGCGCATGTGTGGAATGTCTGAGGGACAGTGAACTGTTCCCCTGTTTAAAAAGTTTGTGGACCTCTGCTCTAAACCACTAGGCCGTTGTTCTGGCCCTATCCCTAGGTGCTCAATAGATGAACGAAGGAAAAATACACAATGGTCTGACTTTCGCATTAAAAAATACGGCAGATCCAATGAGGCCCCGGGGCTATGGAGGCCTTCAGTAAAGTTGTAGAAACACAATCGTTCAGGAATTTGCTCCAAACCGTGTGACCTTATGTTTGCGAAACATTTCGGTAGCTCAGTTTCCTCGTTCAAAAGTGAAAGTAGTAGTATAAAGGAGCATTTCTCCTAGCTGTTTGCAAAGCGTGCGTGCATATGTAATCACCTTCGCATCAATCATTGGAGAAAGGCATGACTATCCTTTTGCCCAGGGAGAGAGTAAGATGTTCAGGGTCACACAGCGAGCAGGGCAGAGTGGAGAGACCGGAAAGCAGGGCTCCCGACGCCCAATCCCATGCTCGGTCTGGGGCTCCTTGCTAAGGACCTTAGAACTTACGGAGAACCCACAGCCTGCCTGGTGGCCCAGACATCACACAGTGCACATGCGAGTCAGGTGGTACTGAGGCCGACATTAATCACATGACCACACTGAGTTCTTTTGGAAGAAGACATGGCCGAGAGGAGCACCAGGGAGGAGTCTTTGCTTGGCTCTCATGTCTGAAAACAAAACCTCTGGCTTCGTAGGAGCTTGGACAGCCCAGGTGACAGACTTGGGTAACATAAGCTTTTCCAGAGCTGCCTTGGGAAGGGAGGATGACCTGGGAGCACTGCGGGAGAGGGCTCTCCGACAGACCTCAGCCTTCCTCCCTCCTGGCGTGGCCATGTTCAAAGGAAATAACATCTGTGAAAGCGCTTTGTAAAGAAGTGTGGTCCAAGTGGAGAGTGCTATTGTTTTTCTCTGTGGAACTGGGTGGTGGGGGGTGGAGCAACTGACTCCCTCTGTGCTCAGGTGAGGGACTTGCCCATCCTCTGATGAAATGTGGCTGCTGCTCCCATCCCAGCCGGGTACCTTCCAAAACACACGCATGCCTGTGCACTCTCTTCCTGCCTCACCAATAACAACCCACCACGATCTCCAGCTCTGCAGATCCACTCTGCACAGGCCGGTAAGCCCCTGTGCACAGGCCCCTTCTTAGCTGTGGGTTTACTACTCCTGATATGGGGCAGGGTCTGTGGATGATGGGGTAGAGGGGGGAGGGAGAAAGATACAGACCTTCCAGCGATTGCCGCACTCATTGCATAAGACAAAGGTAGTCATGGGTTCATCAGCACTGCGTGTCTGCACCTGAGACAGAGAGAGGCACACTCATGAAGTCACTGCCCTGCTCTAGGACCTGCCTTAGCTCCCACTGTCTGCGGAAGTGGGTCCAAGTCCCAGAGCTTAGCACTGTTGGCAATCCCTTATCACTGAGAACGCTCTAATGTATATTTTCTTCTCTTGCAGGTCCATCAGCTCACCTTCAGTATCTCACTGGCTCAACCTGACGTTTGCACTTTCACTCTTGTTGATCCTTCTGAACTGATGTCTCTTCTCTTGCCTCAAGACTCATCTCCTACAGGAAGTATTCCCTGACTCACCTCTGAACATGCCCGATGAGGTGAGCTGGAAGCACCCCTAGGGATCACTTAGTTCATTCCTTATTTTATAGGTGGTAGAACTGAGGCCAGAGAGGAAAAGAGATTTGAAGATCATGGGGACTATTTAATGTAATGGGTTTTTTTTTAGTTTCTCACCCCCTTCACCCAAACCATCAGGTGCAGGTTTCCCACAGCAAATCCCTGGCATTTCCAGATTTAAAGATTGCTGTTCTGATTTTCTCTTTTTCTTTTTGTTAATGTAATGGGTTTTTTTTTAGTTTCTCACCCCCTTACCCAAACCAGTCAGGTGCAGGTTTCCCACAGCAATCATTTCCAGATTTAAAGATTGCTGTTTTGATTTTCTCTTTTTCTTTTTAAATATATTTTATTGGTTTTTTTTTTGTTTTTTTTTTTTTACATAGGAAGGGAGAGGGATAGAGTTAGAAACATCAATGAGACAGAAACATAGATCAGCTGCCTCCTCCTGCACACCCCCTACTGGGGATGTGCCCACAACCAAGGTACATGCCCTTGACCGGAATCGAACCTGGGACCCTTCAGTCCGCAGGCCGATGCTCTATCCACTGAGCCAAACCAGTTAGGGCTGTTGTTCTGATTTTCTATAAATGGCCATGACATATAGCACGTGGTTACTTTGCTGACACTCAGCTATGAATGATGTCAGCTGGGAGTCCACGGCATGGGAGGTAGTCCCTGGGCTAATGAGGGAGCCCGGCAGTCGACCAGGAGGATGCAGCTTAGCACCGCCTCGTCCCTGGAGAGCAATGGCACCTGGAGGAAGGAGAGCACTGGGGGTCCTCTGTGCAGAGAAAACGTTGCTGATGGGCAGTGTACTGGGGGGAGGCCAGGCGCAGGACGCACACCCTCCACACGAGAAGTGCTCGGAGGAGAGCAGGAGCTTGCACAAACATCTCAGAATTCCTGAATCGGGGTTCTCCGAGGGGCGATTCCGGAATGGCAAGGCTGACTGTATTTCTGCTGTAGCCACAGATCCCCACAGGCAAGGTGCTCCTGATACACTTGCTTGCTGAGCAGATGGAGGAGTGAATAGAGTTCCAGAATGATGGGGTATCAATTAGAATCCAAGAACACTGGTGCCCTGAGGGCATAATATGTGCCACCCAGAAACAGCAGGTGGTTCTCTGGTTTAAAGTCTCCCAGAGAAGGGGCCTCCATAGCTTTACGTGGCTCCCCATACAGGGGCAATGGTCTTCATCCTCAGGACTCGGGGCAAAAACCCTTAGGCTTTGCACACAAAGTTGGCTGTGATGCAGGCAGAAAGGTCTAGATCTAGACTTATTCCTGTCTCTGTCACTGACCATCTTTGCCATCTTGGACAAAGCTGCACAGCTTGCCCCCTGTCTGGGCCTCAGTTTCCCTGTGTGCAAAGTGAGAGAGCTGAGTTTTATATTGCCACGTTCCCTCCCAGCCATCTGTGACTCTACAGTTCTGTGCCCTGTGAGTCTGGTTCCTCTTAGTCTTGATGCAGGTACAGCCAGAACATGCTGGCCGAGCCTCACAGACACAAATCTGGGTGGTTGTATATGCAGAATGTCATTTTCTAGAAGCCACGGGACCCTAGCTGATGTTGCTCAGTAGTTAGAGTGTTGGCCTGCACACCGAAGAGTCGTGGGTTCGATTCCTGGACAAGGGCACGTACCTGGGTTGCAGGCTCAATCCCTCATGTGGGAGGCAACCATTCAATGTGTTTCTCTCACATCGATGTTTCTCTCTCTCTCTCTCTCTCTCTCTCTCTCTCCCTTTCTCTCTCCCTCTCTCTCTCTCATCTCTCTTCTCTCTCTCTCTCTCCTTCTCTCTCTCTCTCTCTCTCATCTCTCTCCCCCCCTCCCTCCTTTCCACTATCTCTGAAAAAGCAATGGAAGAAATATCCTTGGGTGAGGATTAACAAAAACAAAACAGAAGCCATGGGTACATATCGGTGTACCAAGACTTGTCCTTTTCTTTGCAGCCTGGAGTTTTAACTCTTCCCCCCTCTGGCTCTTCCCTGAGCTCCCTCTGGTTCTCCATCTCTGTGCCCCTGTGGCTTCCTCCCCCTCCTCACCTTACCTGGTTATAGGTACAATTCTTCTTCTTGCATTTCTTGCACTGGAAGAGGCCAGTGGTGGTGCCGCCCGTTTTGGCCATCTGGTGCTCACGGATAGCCTCCTGGGTCATGGCGTTCCTCAATTCCCGCAGCTCGTCACTGGCCATTTCCTGGAGAGAAACAAGTTTGTCCTTCAGGGCTGGGAATCCCAGGGGCCCTGCCCCATACCTGGTGTCTAGGGAGCCTGAACAGAGGAGGGGAACCTGCTGGATTGAGTACCAGGAGCTGGAGGGAGGCCTGGACTCCTGGCCCTGCCTCAGCAGGGAAAAGGCCATCCCCATTGGGTGGAGGGGCAAACCTGGGGGGCTCTGGTGGGCAAGTGCAGAAGGGCGTGTGTAGGAGAGCAGAAGGCAAACTGCTTCTGCCCCCGGATCAACACTCTTGGGTACATTTCCTCAGACCTGGTGCTCACCCTGCCTGCCTGGACCTTGGGCACCTGCCTGAACCTTCCTGCTTGAGCTGACTTGACCAGAGACCACCTGATGTATGATGTGCTCCTTATCCGTCTGGTCTGGACATGACCCAGGCCTGCCCGAGCTGTGATCACTGCCCAGCCCATTCTGCCTGTGGGGACCTGGTCTCACCATGACTTGCTGTTGCTGTCCCCACCCACGCGGGACCTGAAGCACCTGGGCTCACACCACTAACTGCTCACCTGCGAGTGCATCAGAACATCGTTAGGTTCCTACAGACCAGACTCTCCTGTCTTGTGTCGACTCACTGTAGACACTCAGTGTCCGCATTGTCTAGGTCAGTGGTCGGCAAACTGCGGCCCCTTGAGTGTGGCTCTTCCACAAAATACCATGTGCGGGCGCGCACGTACAGTGCGATTGAAACTTCGTGGCCACACTCAAGGACCTGGGGGGCTCTGGTGGGCAAGTGCAGAAGGGCGTGTGTAGGAGAGCAGAAGGCAAACTGCTTCTGCCCCCGGATCAACACTCTTGGGTACATTTCCTCAGACCTGGTGCTCACCCTGCCTGCCTGGACCTTGGGCACCTGCCTGAACCTTCCTGCTTGAGCTGACTTGACCAGAGACCACCTGATGTATGATGTGCTCCTTATCCGTCTGGTCTGGACATGACCCAGGCCTGCCCGAGCTGTGATCACTGCCCAGCCCATTCTGCCTGTGGGGACCTGGTCTCACCATGACTTGCTGTTGCTGTCCCCACCCACGCGGGACCTGAAGCACCTGGGCTCACACCACTAACTGCTCACCTGCGAGTGCATCAGAACATCGTTAGGTTCCTACAGACCAGACTCTCCTGTCTTGTGTCGACTCACTGTAGACACTCAGTGTCCGCATTGTCTAGGTCAGTGGTCGGCAAACTGCGGCCCCTTGAGTGTGGCTCTTCCCCAAAATACCACGTGCGGGCGCGCACGTACAGTGCAATTGAAACTTCGTGGCCACACTCAAGGGGCCAAAAAGCGCGTGTGGCTCGCGAGCCGCAGTTTGCCGACCACTGGTCTAGGTCCTTCCTTTCTTTATCCTTCTCCCTGGCCATTTGACTGCCCTTAAACCTCTGCCAGACGAGAACAGAGAGGGGGTCACTCAAACCAGAGAGAGTCCTAGGGAAGGCTGGTATGGGGGAAGGAGGAGGGCAGAGGCTGATGCTAAAATGAGTGAGGATCTGGGAGTGGCTCAACATTTCCACTGTTGCTTTCTAACCTGATTCCTTAAACCATGGAGAGCAGAGCTGGCACAAAGGTCCTATATTTTAGTGACCACTAAATCTAATGCTGACCACTGCGCTATAACCACTTGGGCTTCTTGTCAAAATGCAGATTCCTAGGAACCCAAAACTTGAAGGCCAGGCCCAGGAATATGCACTTCTACTAGTGTCCCCAAGTTACTCTGGTGCACACAAATGTTTAAATTCTACTGTGTTAAATTCAAGGAATAGGTTCTAACCAACAACGGGGTAAAGCACGTCAGCCAAGGCCATATACTGGTAAGCAAAAAGCAGCTGATTTTAATTTGGGGGCAATTTCCCAGAGCATAATGCATTTGTTCATTCAAAATCTATGGGACGCTAATTTATTGAATGTCTAACTGCATTGGTGTGCTGGTATACTGGGTTTGACCATAGGAGTGGCTGATTTGTAGTATTTATCAATTTCCATAGTGTAAATACTTCCATCAAGGCCAATTTCAAGCGGCTAATGTGGATGTCACTGAATGCAGAGCTGGGAGTAGCTACACATAATCCTGTCTCCTGAGCTGGTTGGAGCTGGTTTCAGAACACCACTGCCTCTAAGCCCTCAAGATAAGATTTGGTTCCTGTCCCCAGGTAATGCTAGTCTGGTCACGTAGCCTAGCATTCACACAGGATAGCAAGATAGCCTATGAAGTATTAAAACAAAGTCATACAAAATGCAGGGAAAGCCCCCCACCCCTAGTGTGGGGTTAACTACTTGGGGGCAGGAAAGACTCATTAAAGAAACTGACACCTTAACCAATCTTGAAAGATAAACAAACTTCCAGGGCACATTCTAGACTTAGCGAATAGTCCATGCAAAAGTTCAGAGGGCAGCCTGGCCAGTGTTGCTCAGTGGTTGAACATTCGATCTATGAACCAGGAGGTCCAGGTTTGATTCCTGGTCGGGACACATGCCTGGGTTGTGGGCTCGGTCCCCAGTGTGTGGCGTGCAGGAGGCAGCCAATGATGCTCTTTCATCATTGATGTTTCTCTCTCCCTCTCTCTCTCTCTCCTTCTCCCTTCCTCTCTTAAATCAATAAAAAAAAAAAATTTTTTTTTAAGGAAATGAAACTTAAAAAAAAAGATCAATAACATGTTTGGGGAAGGGTATATAGAGTGGGGCTCAGGGCGAGGAGTGTGGGAGACATGGCTGAGGGTCAGATTGTAGAAAGACAGTCTTGTGTGCCACCTAAGGAATAAAAACAGAAAAATATTCTATCCACTCACCCACAAATCCATTTACCTAGCTCTGCCCTGACTCAGTAAGCAGACAAAATCCCTCTCCTTGTGGGACCGACAGTATGTCCACTCAACAGTTCTAATGGGTATCTCAGACTCTACTCCATTCTTTGACATGTCTGGGTGGAGAGGAAAAGAGAGGAGGCATGAGGGAATCAGGTGGACAAGGAAAGAGACACAGAAAGGGAGTTAGGGAGACAGGGACGTGGAGAGGGACATTGATCCACATGGGCCTCCCCTGTCCCAGGCCTTCCCTGACAGCACCTGCCTGTCCTCTGAGCCCAGCACTGCAAGCAGCCCACACAATGCTGTTATTTTTCTTATTGGAGCAAAAATGGTCCTATATTTCTTATAGAAACCTCCCGCCTGGAGCAAAGGGTGACCTGAGGAAGATCTTGGCATCCATGTTGGCTGAGTTGCTGGCAGGGGTTCCTCGGCGGCGGGCCCTGGCAGTCCCTTCTCAAGGGCCTGCTAGATTCCTGGCCTGCTCCCCTTGGTCTGGTCAGCCTCTTTTTTGGGTCTGGGTTCATCACCCGATTCTCTTGCCCTGTTCTAGTGAACAGCCCTTGGGTGGGGCCCGATCTCATCCACGTGTCTGGCTTGGCCAGTTGCTTTGCTGGGACTTCTGGGGCTTGTCTCTGGCCTAATCCGGACGCTCAGCTCTGTTCTGACCTCCAGCTTCTGGGAACTTGCTGGGTTTGGCTCAAACTTGTGCCAAACCTTGCTCCTGGTTCCCATGGGCTCGGTTTCCCAACATGCTCTGGAACGGCCTGTAACACAGACTCTCGATAGCATCCCACAGCACACACACACAGGGAGAAGCAGCGTGACCCCAGGGCCACGGGTGCGGGACAGAGGAATAAACGCAAGGCTGGGTTTCCAGAAAGGTCACAGCTACACCTTGCAGGGAAGGAGCATGTGCCTAAAGCCAAGTTGCAGTGGTAACCCTGGGCACAGATTGCTAGTTGCCTAAAAAGATCAGATATTTAAAATTAAGCAGAAAGACAATCCTGGTCCACTGGCCTAGTTCCCCATTTTATCTGAAAGCCGGGGGTATTATCTTTCTTATTTTGGGTATTTGAGGAAGTCAGTTAGCTTCCCTCTATTAGCTTCTCAGAAAAACATACATGCACACTACATAACAAGCACACACCACTTACATATACCACACGTACCCTAACCACACACACATAGACTACATACACACACCACACATCATATACACACACACAAAGGCCCACTCTTGCCAAGAGTTTCAGCAGATTCCCAGATACCCTGAGGCACACCCAGACTCCAGATGTCATGCATTTTCCCTCCCCTTCTCGGGCCACTTCCCTGACTAGTGCTTCGTGCGCCATCTCCAGGGGCTGTGGGGAATCCCTCTGTTAGCCGTGGCAGTAGAGAGCCGCTTGTACCTGGGGATGTGTAGAAATCTTTACACCCTCATCTGTCACTTGTAAGTTGTGTGTGACCTCAGTTTTCTCATCCATAAAATGAGGATACTAGCCCAGCCAGCGTGGCTCAGTGGTTGAGCATTGAACTATGAACCAGGAGGTCACTGGTTTGATCCCCAGTCAGGGCACATGCACAGACTGGGGGCTCGATCCCCAGTAAGGAGCGTGCAGGAGGCAGCCAATCAATGATTCTCTCTCATCATTGATGTTTCTCTCTCTCTTCCTCTCTGAAATCAATAAAAATATCTATTTTAAAAAATCAGGATACTATTTCCTCTTTCATAGCATTGTGCTGAGGGTTACATGAAATGGTTGGTGAATGGGCCTATCATACACTAATTCTGAGGAGAGCCTTTTATATATTAATCTTCTAAATTCATTGAATGCTTATGAGATAGCTATTATTATTATTATCATCCCATTTTACAGATGAGAAAACTGAGGCACAGAGAGGTTAAGTGGCTTGCCTAAGATTACACAGCTAAGTGGTATAGGCAGAATTCAAACTCAGACAGGCTTGTTCCCTTTTCCTTCCCTTGCTGACCCTTTTAAGCTGGAGCAATCCTTCCTTCCTCTAAGTCCCCACGATGCCTCTATCATGGCACTTACACCTGTTTTACACATACTTGTAAGTATATCAGTTTCCCCACCTTGGACTGTGCTCCATGTAGACAGAGACTCCTGTTCTGGCTTGGGCCCAGAGCGGTAATGGGCTACAGGCAGAGGAGGGAGGCAGATAACCAAGCAGTGAAGAGTGAAACTCTGAGACCCAACAGCTCGCCTCCTGGCCTGAATATTTTCTAGATGTGTGTATAGGCAAATCTGTTAACTCCTCTGAGCCTCAGCCTCCTCATCTGTAAAATGGGGATAATAAACACTCCCACCCTAGTGGGTGTGAAGATAGAATTGGCCAGTGTGTCTAAAGTGCTCAGGACAGTGCCTAATACGTATTAGCCATGTCCACCATCCTGATGGTCCAGAAGCCTTGAGAGGCTGGGAGTCCGAGATGGTCTGACTGTAAGAGCTTCCTGGCTCATCTTTTATGGAGTCACAAGCCACTGCCTCTCAAACTTGGACAAAGCTGGAGGGGCCTGGCCTCCCACCCCACTGTGCAGAGGTCCCGGCCTGGCCCTCACCTCTGCCGTCATCTTGGCAATGAGGCCGGTGGAGATGGCCCCATTGAGCACGTTCCGCCGCAGGCCAGGGTTCCTGGGGTCCTTGAGGTTGCTGATTCGGCTGCGCACGCGGTTCCGGTACTTCATATCTGTGCTCTTGAGCTCCTGGTAGATATGTGACATGGTCAAGGGCCAGCCCAGCTGCTCATAGAGGGGAGGATGGGGAACCTCTCCTGGAAGCCTGAGGAGATCCAGGGCCATCTCTTCCTCTCCTTGGACTTGTTCAGGGTCGGGCACTTCTGTGGCATTTGAGGGAATTGCAGTAGGCATTTGGGGTCAGCCATGTGTCGGGGACAGGAAACAGCCTCTAAGGTTATAGCAAGCACTGTGGTGTCCGGGACTCCGGGAATGGGCAGCCCAGGTTTGTCTGAGCCTCTTGTATGACCTCAGGTGATTCACGTGACCTCTTTGTGCCTCACTTTCCTTATTTATAAAATACGGGGCTGTTATGAGGATTCAGCAATCAAAGCTGCATGATGCACTAGCATGGTGTCTGGGACATAGCAAGAGCTCAACATTTAGGGGCTGTTAAGAGGATAATGATGAAGGTTACCTCTAGTTACCTGAGGGTTGTGAGTCCAGCTGACAGAGAAAAACAAGATAGGAGCCACATGTTTCAGGCTCTAAGAATACTGCAATAAATACATTGCTGAGCTTTGATCCAGTGAGTGCCCCCAGTTCTCTGTCATCATTCCCTGGAACCTACTTTGGGAATTGCTGGTCATTAATGGATGAGGAAGCTGAGGCTTAGGAAGAATGAAGGCCCTCGCTCAAGGTCACAGGGCAAATTCCCGGCAGAGACAGGGCTGGATGCCAGAGCCCCTCCTAATGGTAATGCTCGCTGCTCAGCCAGCAGGAAGTTGCCACTGGCCACGGATCACAGTGACTGCTCTGTCCAGATGCTGTATCCCAGACAGGCCTCCCGCTCCCTCCTCTGGAGGGGCTCAGGGAACACAGCCCAGTGTTCTTGGTCTCCTCAGCCAAGGAGACTCAGGAAGATGAGGCCTTTGCTGGGTAAAGCCAGAGACGAGACAGAGACTGCGGGGAATGTAGAAAAATGGAAACAGCTGACTTGCTTGGGAAGGATGGTGGTATTATTTCTGTTTTTGTTTTCATGTTGTTTGTACAATAAAAGTGTAAAAAGAAAGAATGTGCCATAATGCATTTGGAAGCCAAACCGTATGTTTAAAAATCTGTGTTTGGGATGCCTGGAGGTGAGATCTGCTCATGTGGGGACAGGAGGGCTGGCAGTACCTCCACCAGCTCCTTCCCGACTGTTTCCTGAGATCACAGGGAGGACAAGGTAGAGCAGAGCGCGGACCTGGGTGTCACTGACCCCTCAAAGGAGCACATGTGAGCCCCACGGCTGCTATTTCATCCAGGGTCACTCTGAAGAGGACACAGGGTCAATGTGGCTCTGATTTCCTCTCCTTCAGTGACCGACATTCAGGAGGAAGAAAACACAGAGGAAAGACCAGTGGAACGAGGTACTAGATCATCCACCTTTGTTTCAAACTGGGAAGGGACCTGCTTGGAGGGACAACTGTTCCAGAGAAAACAAAGAGGATGCCCTAACCGGTTTGGCTCAGAGGAGAGAGCATCGGCCTGCGGACTGAAGGGTCCCAGGTTCGATTCCGGTCAAGGGCATGTACCTGGGTTTCGG